GTTGTATTTGGGTAGGAATGAGTACATTCTAAACAAACAAAAGAATTGGTATTATCATTAGAACAAAAATAGTTCCAAATACTATGTCTTTTCTTAGTTTTAGTCATATTGGAGTGGTGTTTTATTCGATTTAAGGGTATTATATCTTAAAATCCAATTAATAATAATATTAAATTATATCAAATGCAGAATATAGAAAATATTTAAATATATTTCTATCAATTAATAATTAATATTTTTATATAATGTCCTATTGAAAACAAAAATTTATTTATTTATAAATTACAAAATATAAATGATGAATTTGAATAATTAATAATTTCATTACATGAACCAACTATTTATAAAATTTTAAAACAATAAATCATTAATATTCAAAATAAATATAAGTACAAAACATATTTTTACTATTTTACAAAAAAAATTATTGCTAAAATGACTATAAAAAAAATCCAAGACCTAGATCCTACTCATCCTTTATTTAAAGATGCAGCTTTATTTATTAGAACAATTGATAAGTATAATGGAAAAATTCAAGAAAAAGGAAATCGTATTATTGATAAACTATTACGATTCTCACAGGAGACCCAACACTCAAAATTGATTCTTTTGGGTTTACTTAAATTCATTAATTCAGAAAAATTTAAATATGATAAAGAAGAAATATTTGAAGAATTAAATCAAGCTTTAGATCTTACTCTAGAACCTCAAAAACTGGTTCACTTGACCGAAGTACCTTTAGAATTAATCATTTCAGAAGAAATGATAGAGGATCCATGAATCACTATACTCAACTATTATTTTGATGAAATCTATATTGAGAATTTTTATACTTGTGATTTTATTAATGAATTTTCCTTAGAAATGAGAATATCTGTGATTTTAGAAGATTTACGTCAGAAATTACTTAAAAAAATAGTATCAGATGATACCGAACCATTGGATAATTTCAATTATTTGGTAAAGAAAGTAGAAAAAGAATTAGGATTGATAAGATCAAAAAATACAAAGAATTTTCGAGAATCTGTTATTAAAAATAAATA